AGACAGAGAGACAGAAAGCGAGAAATCAATCCCTGGGGGGATGGCCACGCCGCAATCCCTTCTCCTCCATTCTCCTCTCGGGATCTCGGGCACACACGCGTACGCGCCTGGCGTGAGTTTTAAGCCACTGGGTCCAGGGACGCGAACCGCGGTCAACTACGTGGGAGTCCAGCGACATAGCCATTACGCTAACTGCTGGTCCTGTGGCTTGCTTTCTTGCTTTCCCTCTCGCTCTCTCTTTCACTCTGTCTTTGTCTCATCAAATTAAAATAGGTAAATAAAGTTAAATAAAATAATTTTTAAAAAATAAAAGAATTACTTCGTGAAATTGCGCATATCCACAGCCAATCTGATTATTTTTAAGTGAGCTAATATTTTTATAACAATAATAAATTAATACATACAGTTTTTTCAGTGAGGTATAGTGGCTAAACTTGGTGGAGGAGGTAGGCATTTGGGATTTCTTAGAAGGAAAGCTGTTCATCACCAGGAAATCTTGAATGCAGCTTGGGATACACATCCACTTCTGGTACAGCTACGTGCATCATTTCATGGATTAAATCTCTTGGTAAAATTGTGTTTTCTTTCCCCACCTATGGAGTAGAACTGGTATCAGGACTGTATGTACCTCACACTCCGCACAGAGCTTTTTACAGACTACGTAAGCATGGGTTTCTGTGTGTATAAATTCATACCTTATAATACACGCACTAAAAAAATAGATCTATAATTTTGGATAGCTGTTTCACCTCCATAATCTTCAGTAAAATTTAAAGCTTGGGTAATTGGGACCAGCAGTTGGCATAATGGCTATGTCACTGGACTCCCATGTAGTCAGCTGCAGTTTGAGTCCCGGACCTGGTGGCTTAAACGTACGCTGGGTGTGTGTGCATGTATGCCCAAGATCCTGAGAGGAGAATGGAGGAGATGGGATTATGGCCATGGCCATCCTCCCTGGGGGATGATTTCTCGCTTTCTGTCTCTCTGTCTGTCTCTGTCTTTCTGGTAAATACATGCACCCTATAGCAAAAATGTCTCCAAAAAAAAAAAAAAAGACCTTGGGTAATAGTTTAGAAAATAAAGGTACGAGAGGATGTTTAAAATATATGGATTGCGGGAACCAGCAGTTAGCATAATGGCTATGTCGCTGGACTCCTACGTAGTCGACCGCGGTTCGCGTCTCGGACCTGGTGGCTTAAATCTCATGCCGGGCGCGTGTGCGTGCGTGCCCAAGATCCCGAGAGGAGAATGGAGGAGAAGGGATTGCGGTGTGGCCATCCCCCCTGGGGGGTGATTTCTCGCTTTCTGTCTCTATGTCTCTCTCTCTGTCTGTCTGGCGAGCGCACGCACCCTATAGCGAAAACCTCTCCAAAAAAAAAAAAATCTAAAATATATGGATTGCATATTATGGCCGTAACAATAACTTGAATGTTTTGTTTATTTCAGAGTAAAGATGGAAAAACCCCTTTGCACATGACCGCACTCCACGGTAGATTCTCCAGATCACAGACCATTATCCAGAGTGGTAAAAAGTATTTTTTTTTTTTTTCTTTAATATAGTAAAAACATTCACAAGTTGAATGGTATTAAGGAGATGTCATTGCAGTTTATATGTTTGTAATACTTCATTTTAGAACTCATGAAGATCAAACAGTAGAGGAGAAAATGCCGTGTGTAGAGATTGTCTATAATTTTGTTTTCACTTATTTTTATTTTGTTTTTCTGATATAAAAACATTATCTCACTAGCGTTAATGTCCACTTTTTTTTTTTTTTTTTGGAGGGGGAGAGGTTTTCGCTATAGGGCGCGTGCGCTCGCCAGACAGACATAGAGAGACATAGAGACAGAAAGCGAGAAATCACCCCCCAGGGGGGATGGCCATGCCACAATCCCTTCTCCTCCATTCTCCTCTCGGGATCTTGGGCATGCACGCACATGCGCCCGGCATGAGTTTTAAGCCACGAGGTCCGGGACGCGAACCGCGGTCGACTACATGGGAGTCCATCGACATAGCCATTACGCCAACTGCTGGTTCCCACGTTAATGTCCACTTTGATCTCAGTATTACTGAGTAGAAGCTACCCCTACCACGGTGTGTGCTCTGTGTCCCTGTGTGTACTCCATTGGGTCATTTTCTTCCTTTTGAATATTGTGAACTATTTTTAGAGTTTTAGCTTATTTTCTGAAATCGCATTTGTTTGTATCCAGTTTAGTGCTTGGCAAGCTAAACTTTTGTGTAAAAAAGACTTTTAGGCGTATTTAAATCACCATTTGTTAGTATTTTGCCCTGGAGACAGCGAGTGGTAGGAAAAGCAGTCGCAGCTCATAATCAGGTAGTTTGAAGCACCACGCATCCTCCTGATGGTGTGCGTAGTTTGCGTCAAAACTCCAGAGAGTCTTCCTTAAAGAAATGTGTTTAGTTTCTTTTTAATACAGTGGTTTCCAAAGTTATCGGACTCCGGAACCACTTTGTGGGTTTAAAGTCTGTTCGCATGCCATGCACGATTTGTAGAAGTGCTTTAAGTGTAAGGGCTGCAGCACTGGAGCCGGGACCAGTGAGTGCCCAGTGGCCCCGGTAGAGCTGCCGCACCCAGGCGTCCTCCTCAGCCGCGTCCGGTACTGCTCTCCGGTGTCTGACAGCACGTCCGCCCTGCAGGAGCCGTCATCGACTGTGAGGACAGGAACGGGAACACGCCCCTGCACGTCGCGGCGCGGTACGGCCACGAGCTGCTCATCAACACGCTCATCACGAGCGGCGCGGACACGGCGAAGTGAGTGGCGGGGCGGGCTGCAGAGGGAGCGAGCCCACCTGCCGTGGTCCTCCCGTGGAAGGGGGACCTGGGCGTCCGTGCCGCGCTGCTCCAGCCTCCCCTTGTCTTTCACACTGACGGCGTGGGTCAGGCAGTCCCTATTTGACCCCAGTTCCTTGTCAGTACGTGCACTGTCAGCTTGGGTCAGAGCTGTCATTTGCAGTCTCTGGCGTTTGCTCCCGATGTCTTAAAGACCTGGAGACGGACATTCCCAATGCTTTCCTTTCTCATCCAAATACTACCTGTAAGTGGAGGGTTTCAGGGTGCAGTGCACATCAGGAATTCCTCGGGTGCTGCAGCAGGGTCCCTGGTCCCCCAGTTTGATCAGAGCAGTTCCCATGTAAAATTTCATTTGGAAGGAGGGCCCGCTCCTGCATGTACTCCGCAGAAGTAGCTGCTCTGACGTTGGCGTGTCTCAGGCCTGTGTACACTCTTAAACGTCGATCATCGTGTTTGTACTGTTCATCGCTCCCCATAGGCCCCAGTACAGGGACGTTATTCACGGTGCAGTCCGTCTCTGGCTTTCCACCTTCCGGTTTTCTTGTTAATGTGCCTCCCTTTTCATCCCATTCTTGATTTCGAACCAAGGTGCCATCTTTTTTTTATGGAGCTTTCGAATATGTCACTCCTAAATCTTTTTTTTTTTTTTTTTAAGAATTTTTAATTTAATTTATTTTCATCTTTTTAATTTGCTGTAGGGCATGTTTGTTCACTAGAGAGAGAGAGAGGACACCACCAGGTCCGGGACTTCAACTGCAGTTGGCCATGTGGGAGTCCAACACCTTAACCACCACACCCCTGTTGGTCCCCAGCATCCAGCGCCCTAACCACCACACCCCTGCTGGTCCCCAAAGTCCAGCACTCTAACCACCACACCCCTGCTGGTCCCCAAAGTCCAGCACCCTAACCACCACACCCCTGCTGGTCCCCAAAGTCCAGCACTCTAACCACCACACCCCTGCTGGTCCCCAAAGTCCAGCACCCTAACCACCACACCCCTGCTGGTCCCCAAAGTCCAGCACTCTAACCACCACACCCCTGCTGGTCCCCAAAGTCCAGCACCCTAACCACCACACCCCTGCTGGTCCCCAAAGTCCAGCACTCTAACCACCACACCCCTGCTGGTCCCCGGTGTCCAGCACCCTAACCACCACACCCCTGCTGGTCCCCAATGCGCCATCCTCAGAGTCACGGACAGTCTGGGATTTAATGCCATCAGCTATAGTTTCTTCACACTTTTCTCCAAGAACACTAGAAAATTGTAGGGATTTTTGGCTTCTATATTTTGTTTTTTAATTTGCCACGTGAGCTCCATGACAGGATTTGGGGACCTGCCATCTCTTTTCCTCCGTCTCTCAGGATTTTGTGCACTCACACACATGCACTTGGCATGCTTTTTCAGCCTCTGGGCCTGCGTCTTGAACCACATAGTAAGCTATGTGGGATCCAGCCGCCTTAGCCAAGTCCCAGGCTGGCCCGTGAGCAAGTTTCAAACGGTAAATAGTGTGAAGTAAAGTGCACGCCTCTGTGAGTGCTGGGTGGTTAAGGTGAAGGCAGGCCATTGTACATTCCTCTTTGGAAATTTTCCAAAAACTCTATGAACTAGTTGACGGAGCCCTCTCAGCGTACATGTGTGCCTTCCCAGACCTCTCCGAGGAGCTCTGACTCCTCCATTTTGTAGAATGTGAAAGATTTCCGTTCATCCGTTCTGCCAGCTTACAGACCTAGGCTGCTTACACTCTGCACTAGTTCGGAGTTACCGCAGTGGCCACGGTCACGTGTGTCACTCATGGGAGTGGCGTTCAGTGTCAGCACTGCAAGGGTGGGTCTGCTCCAGAGACGTTTCTGTTTGTCACAGGTTGGGGGACAACCGACACCCAGTGGGTAGCGCCCGCAGGGGCTCCTGAGCCAGCCATGAGCACTGGGCGGGGCTCTCCCCCACCCCGCTCTCTAAGGAGTTAGAGGTTCTGACTCTCTTGTTACTCCCACCTAAGCCGTTTGTCCTTCTCTAAGTCGCTGCGTCCGTCTCGTGTTGTAACGGAGGCACTCTCCTGTTGCCTAGGCGAGGCGTACATGGGATGTTCCCCCTCCACTTGGCGGCCCTGAGCGGCTTCTCCGATTGCTGCAGGAAACTGCTGTCTTCAGGTGAGTGTAACCTTCGCAGACCGTTTGGTTTTTCTTAACTCCCTAACCCCCCAGATTCTAAGATAGTCTCTATTCTGCCGTTCCAGAATTACGTGCAGATTGGATCCAAGTATGGAGCACTCATTAACCCTCTTAAAAGGTGTCGAGCTCTCTCATTTTAAGACTTGACTTCCCCACCCTAGGACATGTGCTCCTTCTCTGTGGTTCTCTTTACGCTGTATTGCTGGGGCGTGGACGTGCACCGTCTCAGAGCAGCTACTCTGCCCTGAACGTAATCTTACTGGATCGTCCTTTTATGTCTAGAACAGAACGTCTTCCTTTGCATGTCTCATAGGACTTGGCTCCATCCTAAGAGCCTAGAGCCATTCTGCAGTACCTTCTAGGCTTGTGGATTTGTTTACTGCGTAATTTCTGGTTCAGATGCTGTGTTCAGGCCAGCCTGGTGGTGTGGTCAGTGCAGCTGTATCCCACGTGGCCGGCTGTGCAGCTAGAGGCCTGAGAAACACGCCGTGTGATGTTCGTGTGGTGGCCGACCCTGTGGAGGATCAGGGTGCTGTTTCACTTTCTCTCTTTCCCTCTCTTTCTGTGTCTGGTGACTGCACGTGCCCCATAGCAAAGCAAAATAAAAGTTAAAGGAATTCATGTGCTCACACTCACACACTTGCAGACTTAGAAAGGTGTCGGGGAGGTCAGCAGCGCAGGGCTGACTTCATGGCCTCGTGAAGGAAGCCGGATCCCGCGCCGCCAGCCTCGCCATGCTAGCCTGCTTCCAGTGGCTTGAAACACATGCCCCATTGCTGGGTGCTTCTCTCTCACCCTCTCTGTCTCATTGTCTCTGGCAAGCACACGGTCTTTCTGGGAAAATTAAAAAAAAAAAAAAAAAAGCATAAAGAGCGAGAAATGGGCTGGTGGGTGGCTTGGTGGTGGGGCCCCGGGCTCCTGCATGGCCAACTGCAGCTTGAGGCCCAGACCTGACAACTTGCTTCCTCACTTTCCCTCTCTCTCTCTGTCTGTGGTGACCACACGTGCCCTTAGTCGATTTAAAAATAAATAAATAAGTCATTGTAATAAATAAAATTAAGTAATTCTTTAAAAGGAAAAAATTGAGAGACGCTGTATTTTTTCTTAATATTGTAAAAGTGTGTTCATTTCTTTTTTAGTGTATGTGCTGCCTAAACAGGCACTGTTTTCTTGTTAAGTGTGTGTCCGTAAGCATTCACATTCCCATTTTTCATGACAGAATAAATAGCTTTATTGAGATATAATTTACATGCCATATAATTCACCTGTTTAAACTACATAATTCAAAATATTTTCGTATATTCACAAAGATGTGTGACCATTATACAATCAGTTTTAAAATATCTAATCCCTTGGAAAGGAAACACGGTTAGTAATTAATCTCCTTGCCCCTCCCCAGCCCTAAGCAGACAGTAATCTGGTCTCTGTCCGGGAATGTGTTCATCCAACACGTGGTCTTTCGTGGCCGACTTCTGTCACTCAGCCTGGCGATTAGAAGGACTGGCCACATAGCACCATCGGTACAGGCTGGGCATCTCTGATTCAGAAATCTAAAACCTGAACTGCTTCCAAGTCCCCACGTGGGACCAGCAGGTGGCGTAGTGGTTAAGGTGCTGGGCTACCACACGGCTGACCGCAATTTGAGTCCCAGACCTAGCTGCTTGAAAATCACACCAGGCGCATGTGCGTGCCTTCCCAAACTCCCCGCAGGAGAGCGGAAAAGGGACCGCGGCATGGCTGTCCCCCAGAGGATGGTTTCTCACTTTCCCTGTCTGTCTCTTTGTCTCTGTTTTTCTCTCCCCACTGCGTGTACATACACCCTAAGCCCCCCCCCCCCAAAAAAAAAAAAAAAACTCACTTAAAAAATCTGAACTCTGACTGCTGGCAGATAGGAAGCTGCATACCTGACCTCGTAGGAGGGTCGCAGTCAAACGTTCCGGTACGCAGATGCTGTCTGAAATGACCTCCGTGTCGTATGCATCACTGAGTGCGAAAGCATGAATGAGTTTGTGTTTGGACTCCGGTCCCAAGACCTAGCCCGCTATTCTTATGCAAATGTCCCAGAAAGGTAGCATGCCTCAGATACTTTCAGCCCAGGCATTCTGGATGAGGTTTGTTCAGCCTGCACTTTATTCCCTTTTATCGCTAAATAGCATTTCATTATATCCTGTGGTCTTGTAGACAGACACCTCCCTACTGGTCCTAAAACCCCCAATCCGTTAGTGAGTGGGTTTAATAATATTGTACATTACTAATGTTTTTCTCTGCAGTAAGTTCACGCCTTTCTTGCGTCATAGTCCTGTTTGGCTTGGAGGGGTGGCCTCTCGCCGTGTCCTGACTGTATGTGGCTTAGCCACTGCAGTAAGTGTAGCCCTGTACTAAGATGCCTTCCTCCCTGCAGGGTTTGATGTGGACACCCCAGATGATTTCGGAAGGACCTGTCTGCACGCAGCTGCGGCTGGAGGGTATGTTACTAGTGTTCTCATTTCTCTCAGATAAAGGTAGCTTTCAGGGCAGTTTTTTCTATTATCATTGTTCCTATTAGTGTTCTTGCCACTATGAAATAAGAAACCAAACGTCGGGGCCGGCAGGTGGCATGGTGGTTAAGGCTGCTGGGCTCCCACATGGCTGACCGTGGTTCGAGTCCCAGACCTGGCAGCTTGCTTTCTCAGTTTCCTTCTCTCTCTCTCTCTCTCTCTCTCTCTGGTCAATTTCAAAAGTAATAATAATAAAATAAAATAAAATAAAATAATGACAATGAATAAAATTTAAAAGAAAAGAAACAGAATGTGATGGGGTAGTGTGGAGACATCTCGGGTAGCAGCAATTGCTTCGTTCATCTTCTCTTCCACTTGGGCCGTAAGTAACAGGTGGAGGAAGGGATAGACCTGGGACAGAGAGGGATTGCTTTTTTTTTTTTTTTTTTAACTATTTTATTTAACTTTATTTATTTTTAATTTGACCAAAGAGGCGAGGAGTGGGAAAGCAAGCCGCCAGGTCCAGAACTCAAACCATGGTCGGCCATGTGGGAGTCCAGCGCCCTTAACCACCACGCCACCTGCCAGCCCTGGGAAGATTGCTTTCTATAAGAGAAAATGATCTTTAGATGAATGAGAAACTAATAATTTATTAAAATAAAAATAAGTATTCTCAAATGGGAAGATCAAAATACCGGAAATGCTTTGAATAGTACTGGTATTCTTTAAATAGATGCTTTTCCTTAAATCATATCTTCAGGGAGAAAAATGTTGCTGGTGTATTTATACCTTGCCTATAATAAGAGGAGGGAAACTCGAGCTGGGAAGATTTGGGACCTGGCCCTGACTAGCACCACTTGGGAGGTGGTTCAGTGAAGTACAAACACAGACTAAAATTCTCGGTCTCTGAAGCCATGCTGCTAAGCTAATGCTTCTGATAATTTAGACCTCTCAAAAGCTATTTGATGTACGATTATCTAAAGATCCCCAGTGACTTCAGGTGACGAGTGTGCCGCAGCCTGCACTCCCAGGCCCGTCACGGCTGTCAGGTGGGTTGTGAGCCATGCGTGGCTCCATTGTCCTCAGGAGTCACCTGAAAACCTGACTTCCGTAACTGGCCTCCAGAGAGCGACAGCAGGCTGGAGCTCTGACCACTCAACAGTTGTGTCTGCACTGTAACGTGGTGATGTCTAGGCCACACAGATGGGGTGATAGGAGTGCCTGTGTGGGTGACGCTCTCTCCTGCAGCTTTAACGAGGGGTACCTGTGAGTGAGCACACCATCCTAGGGGGGAAGGTAGGGGAAGCAGGCTTGGGCATTATCTGAGCTCTCAGGTTGATACGGTTTTTAACTATTTTCATTTAATATTAAAAGGCACTTGGATTTAGACCATTCGGTTATAAACACATTGTCTCTAACCCCTGCTCAGGCTCCTTTACAAATGCGATCTTCCTTTACCTACTAATAACGTGATTCACTTCTTATTTCCTATCAGTGTGTCAGTATGTGTGTGTTGGCTTCAGATTTTAGAGAAGATGAATCTAAGTGGTTTGTTCTTCATGAAATGTGGATCGTTCCGTTTTACTCACTTTCACACTTACTTGAACATGAGATTTTATGCCTGTTGGAGTCTACCAGTGTCACCATAGAATCACTGACAACTGAGTTTCCCAACTACTTTCTTTCCATAGGAATTTGGAGTGCCTAAACCTTCTGCTGAATACTGGTGCCGACTTCAACAAGAAGGACAAGTTTGGGAGGTAGGGGATGGCAGAGCTCCTCCGAGAGCCTTCCATTTTACTTGCCTAGTCTGTCTCCTGAGAATGAACTGGACCATCTGCATTGTGATCATGACTCACTGAGAGCCCCTCTACGTGAAGGGAGTGGATGCACTCTAAAGCAAAAATCCCTTTAAAAAAAGAGTCTTGGGAACCAGCAGTTAGCGTAATGGCTATGTCGCTGGACTCCCACGTAGTCGACCGCGGTTCGTGTCTCGGACGCGGTGGCTTAAAACTCACGCCGGGCGTGTGTGCGTGCGTGCCCAAGATCCCGAGAGGAGAATGGAGGAGAAGGGATTGCGGCGTGACCATCCCCCCTGGGGGGTGATTTCTCGCTTTCTGTCTCTATGTCTCTGTCTGTCTGGCGAGCGCACGCACCCTATAGTGAAAATCTCTCCAAAAAAAAAAAAAAACAGAGTCTTTAATTTCAAAATAGGCAGTCTCACCAGTGGCCTTCTACTTGTGACCATAACAGCCCCAGGCTACCAGTCACAGGGCATGCCGGGGCTGTAACAGGACATCTGAGGACGGGGCGATTTATGAAGGGAAGAGGCTCGTTTGGCTTACAGTTCTGAAGGTGACTGCAGAGTTCAGAGGCGTTAGGCCAGCCTCTGGCGGGCCCTGGTGTGTGCCGCAGCCAGGCTGAGAGAGCAAAACGGAAAGTAACATTCGCAAAGGGAGAGAGATGCGCAGGCGGGCAGCAGCCTTGATAGCACCCTGCTCTCGGACTGAGTAGTAAGCGCTCCCTTGGCCTTTAGGCACCTGCGCACCATTCATGAGGGAGGTAGGCGCTCTCACCCCGCACTGCCACACTGGGTGCCGGAGTCCTGTGGGGGGCCAGGAGAACACAGCCGCGGCACCTACCCTCGTGAGATCTCTGTTGTTGTCAGCATCACTTGTGGCCACAGAGACGCGAACCCCCTGGAGCTGCACGTATTTAGAACGCAGCGGTGCGGTTTTAGCTGCACGTTCCTTTCTGAGCCAGGCTGCGTGAGGCTGATCCCAGGGCACTAGTGAGAGGGGATGTGAGGAGGTGGAGGAGGAGGGAGTGTAGTGTGGCCATGGCCCACTGGGGAGTATCTCTTTTTCTTCTCCCCTGGTAAGTAAACACTTGCACTCAGACCGTTAAAAAATGCCCTCTGGTTCTTGCTGTAGGACGAGTGTGCGTGCCCGACAGAGAGGGACAAAGAGAGGGAAGGGAGAGGTCACCGCAGGCGGACGGCCACGGCGTCTCTCCTCCATCCTCCTCCCGCGGTGTGGGCCACACACTTGTTGACCAGCGTGTGTCCCCGGCTTTTGTCTTTCCCATGTTGACCTGGGCACAAAAGGTCCCCGCTGCACTATGCCGCCGCCAACTGCAACTACCAGTGCCTGTTCGCTCTCGTGGGGTCGGGAGCCAGCGTGAACGACCTCGACGAGAGGGGCTGCACGCCCCTGCACTACGCAGCCACGTCGGACACGGATGGCAAGTAAGTACCGGGGCGGGCGCTCCCGGGCAGCGGCCTTTTCCCTGGCCTGTCTTTGCTGTTGCTTCTCCTTCCCTGAGTCTCGAGCTTGGAAGTGATGTGCTTCCTCGGGTCTCTAAACCCTCGTTATCTCCACTGTCAGCTCTCAGCAGTGCTGATTGATCTGGTGAAAGAAAAACGAAGGTTCTTATTCTTTTTTTTTTTCCCCTCCAAGAAAAAAGTTTAATCCAGATTTGAAACTCACATCATCGTAAACTGTAACATTTATGAAATACCCTGAAAGACGAAGGTCCTCTTTGTCCTCCCTGCAAGACAAACACTTTAGTCGTCACCACCATGTCTTCTTCCTTTGACTTCTCAGCCTTGGTGTATCATGGGGAAGGGGAAGGGGAAGAAGGAAAGACATGGGCCGTGTCGGCAGGTTAGGTCGAAACTAGCATGCTGCTGTAATTTTGTGGTTCAGTATTTTATAAACACACAGGCTTTATTACTGTCTAGCTCATTAACTGCTGTGCTAAAGATTTGTGAAAGCATAAGACTAGATCTTGAGGTCTAGCTTGTACCTTGTCGTAGCCTAGCCAGGAGATTTGGAACAAGTCATTTAGCTTTTCTGCAGTTGTTTTTTTGTTTTTTTGTTTGTTTGTTTGTTTGTTTTTTGAGAGGTTTTTGCTACAGGGTGCATGCACTTGCCAGACAGAGATAGAAAGTGAGAAGTCACCCCCCAGGGGGCATGGCAATGCCGCAGTCCCTTCTTCTCCATTCTCCTCTCGGGATCTTGGGCACGCACGCACATGCGCCCTGCGTGAGTTTAAGCCACCGGGTCCGGGACTCAAACCGCGGTCAACTACGTGGGAGTCCAGCGACATAGCCATTACGCTAACTGCTGGTCCCTGCAGTTGTATTTTTTAAAGATAATACTAACCCTACTTGCCTCACAAAGCAAAGAAGTCTTTAACCAAGTCCTCTAGAGGTAAGTGATCAAACAGAAATGCCTCTTCCTTCCTAAGGCCTAAGTACAAGCAATTATGACAGTTTGTATTGTGTAGCAAAACCTAAGCCGCATCAATGGAAGGAATTTTGCTTGTGCAGCCAGCTTAGTGTATCTTTGTTTTGTTACGTGAACCCAAACACTGAGTCTTTGGTAAGACACGCATGTGTGACAGATTATTTCAAACCATTTAATGCTGTAAACTTGAAAGTAGTCAGTAATGTGGGACTTACTTCCTGCTTCAGAAAGTAAACAGGGACTTAACCTACTTGTTTTGCTTTCCTGAAATAAATCTTTTCTTCAGTACTCAGGTATCAGGGAGTTATCTTAAAATAGCCTGCTTCACTGGTAGACTCTCGCTTGTACTTAGGCCACCCGGTACTCGAACTGTGGTCAGATACATGGGAGTGCCGCAACACAGCCATCACGCAATCCGCTGGTCTCCTAAGACTCTTTCTTGACCTTTCTGATGAGAAATGATAGTCACTTTGTGTTCTAGATAGACAAGCAGTAATTGCCAACATCTGCTCACTACCAGCAAGATTTAATTCTGTCAAACACTGAGTGGAGTAGGCGATACCATAGCTTGTGACTATGTTTAAAAAACAAAAACTAAGCCTTGTCGTGGATTTTGGAGTTACCTACTTTGAATACAGAAGACCATCTTAGGAATGTTTTGCTTGAGTCAGTGTCAGGATTTATAGTACAACTGTTCTTAGAATTCTTCCGTTACTCACGCATCATGAAATCGTCGGTGTGTAAGTGACTGGTGAGGATGCAGGGCTCAGAATGGTGGGGTGCTGTCGCCGTGTGCAGGTGCCTGGAGTACTTGTTAAGGAACGACGCGAACCCCGGGATCCGAGACAAGCAAGGGTACAACGCCGTCCACTACTCAGCTGCTTACGGCCACCGCCTGTGCCTCCAGCTGGTAAGACCAAGCTCATGTCGGGACCGCAGCAGGTGCGCAGTCAGCAGCGCAGTGAGAGTGGGCACCTGCACGAGAAACAGACTCGGTTTTGCTTTTTAGACTTTTCAGATCCCACATACCTCTTAAGTTGACCCTTGACTTACTGAATGTATCTCTCATTCCCTTTTTCTTTTCAAAAAGAAAGGAGAAAGTTTAATTTCCTGCCAGGGCCACTCAACCCTTCCCTTATATCTTCCAGGTCTGTGTACGGAGCATCTACTTCTTCCCTTTAAACGAGTTTTGTATAAATGCCTAAAGAACTGTAGCCATGTGGGAGATACCAGTTTCTGAGAGAGGAAGGCTCCTGTCTCAACCCCAGAGTATTTGGGGGTTCCCAGTCTCTCGCAGTAAGGGTGGCACTGCTCGTGCGGGTGGAGCGTTACTCGGACGGTGCTCTTAGCTGTGAGATGTGAGAAGGCTTCTGAAAGGCCGGGAGCATGGGGCTGGGCCCTGCTCTGTGCAGCGGTCATTCAGACTGCAGGAGGGAGCCAGAGCCACGTGGCTGCGCTTGTGTGCAGGTGCCCCAGATCCTGATGGCCTACAGACGGGAGGGACAGGAGGGCAGCATAACCGGACCTTCCTGCCGGGCACTTTCTCGTGTGCATGCACCCTCCAATGTTAAAAAGAAAGATTCCTTTGCTTGTACTAATCTTAGACTTTACATCAAGGAGAAATAGAATTCAAGAATGGTTATAAAAGGTAGAAAAAGGAGGTTAACATATTTAATGTAGCATTTAAAACTCTGCTGTGAAAATAACGAAGTGAGGACCTGCAGTAGCCCTAATGGCTATGTTGCTGGACTCCCGTGTAGTTGACCGCAGTTTGAGTCCTGGACCTGGTGGCTTAAACCACGCTAGGCGCATGTGCGTGTGTGCCCAAGATCCCGAGAGGACAGTGGAGGAGAAGGGATTGGGGCATGTCCATCCCCCCTGGGGGAAGATTTCTTGCTTTCTGTCTCTTTTTCCCTTTTTTTTTTTTGAGAGGTGTTTTGCTATAGGGCGCGTGCGCTCGCCAGACAGACAGAGAGAGACAGAGAGACAGAAAGCAGGAAATCACCCCCCGGGGGGGATGGCCACGCCACAATCCCTTCTCCCCCATTCTCCTCTTGGGATCTTGGGCACGCACGCACATGCGCCTGGCGTGAGTTTAAGCCACCGGGTATGGGACTTGAACTGCGGTCGACTACGTGGGAGTCCAGCGACATAGCCATTATGCTAACTGCTGGTCCCCTGTCTCTCTCTTTCTGAGTCCTATAGAAAAAAACTCTCAAAAAAAGAGAAAAGAAAATAACACAGTGTTGCACTGGCCCCATGGCCTAATGGTTAAGGGATGAGAACCGTATGAGATCCGATCCACCATGGTTTGAATCCCAGCCCCAGCACCTTGAGAGACATGCCAGGCATGCTGTGCGTGCCTCAGCTACTGACAGGGTGGAGAGATGAGGGAGCAGCTGCAGCGTGACCTCACGCCGTGACCTCACGCCGTGACCTCACGCCGTGACTTGATGCTTCTCCATGTCTCTATCTCCATTTCTGGCAAGCACACGTGCCATCTGGCAATTTAACAAGAAAATAAATAATTTCTTAGGTTATGTGGATCTCCAGAAGACTTAAGTATTTCAGAGGCAAGACAACAGGTTTAGAAGAGAAATTAACAAAGGCCTAGGCCGGCAGGTGGCACAGTGGCGAGGGTGGCTAATTGCTCTGTACACGTCCCGGACCCAGTGCCTTGAAAAGCACCCCAGACGTGTGCATGTGTGCCTAAAACCCCGGAGGGAGTAGGGGGGAAGGCCTGTGACATGGCCGTCCCGGGGTGCGGTGTGTGCTCCCCTCCTGTCTCTCCAGTGAGGGCACACTCCCTAGCCAAGCTCTCTGTGAGTAGGGCCTTCACATATGGCTACTTCGTAAACTAAATACTTTTGTTTGAACCTTTGTTTCAGATTGCAAGTGAAACTCCTTTAGATGTTGTAAGTATTAGTTGATAACCCCTCTGCTGTTCAAAACACTGTAATATGTGTATTTCTTTGCTCTCATTAGAGCTGAAGCCAGAGATGTCCCCACGCACCTGTGGGAGCAGGGGCAGTGGCAGAGCCCAGCTCTGTGGAGGGGCGGGGCGGGGTGCTGCCAGTGGCTGTTACGTAGAACTCCCACCCCAGACTCTTCCTCGCCCCAGGGCTCCTAGTCTATGCCCCTGCATGCTTTCGTGACGGCTCTGTCCGAATCCGACCAGCTCACGGTGCACGCTCGGGCCGGGTAGGAAGGAGGGGTGGGAGCTGCGCTGGTGTCTCAGCGTCGTTTCTGACAGTGAAACCGCATTCCTTTCTAGCTGATGGAGACCTCCGGGACAGACATGCTCAACGACTCCGATGACAGGGCGACAGTCAGCCCCTTACACTTGGCGGTGAGTGCTGCCTCCACTCCCAGCCGGCCTGCTCCGGCTGTGTGTACCCGTCTGACCCAGACCAACCCCTGACCTTTCGGCCCTGGTAATAGTTGCCGTGTGATTAGCACTTTGTTAACTCAGAGAAGTCTTTAGTAACTTCTGCCTTTTGTCCCCCTTTCTAAAAAGAGGTCCTTGGACTCCCCAAGGGCCTTTTCTAAGGGAGTGAATAAGCCTCTGACATGAATTTTAAAGCATACTACCCTGTTGGAGTGGCTTCTGATGTCCGAACAGATGGCAGTCGCGCGCACACGCACGCACGCACGCTTAGTGGTACTTCTAGTTGTGTCTTCTCGTGTGTTGGGTCCCCCTTTCGTTCATGATGCTTTGGGCCTTGACCACATGATCTGTGCTGTCCCTCCTGCTGCGAGATTACCACGAGCATTCCCGCGCAATGTCATCGATCCAGAGGGAGAGGTGAGGGGAGGATACAACAGGTATTCAAGTCAAACACGAGAACGACCCGCCTTAGGCAATGTCAAGTAGAGCCCAGCCTCGCTCTTCCTGTCAGTCAATTCTGAAAGAATTCCTTTTTGAGACAAAACATATTCCGATGGGGCAGAGCGGCTCTGGGAGTTGCGAGCAGGATACTGTCCTAGCCGTGTGAGACCTCTCATCCTGAGAGATAAGATGCTGTGAACCGTCTCCTGTGGGTCTAATTGTGCCCTCTCACCTGCACTGCGGGTGCCTCCCTGATGTCCTCGCGATGTCGCAGCACCTGCCGTCTCCAGTCACTCCCACAGTCGCCTCGTGTCCTGGAGAGCTGAGAAAGCGGGCCACAGCTCCCCACCGGGTCCTTGTCCTTGGGGCCCTTGAGAACACGGCACCCCTCCTAGACACGCACAGGAGACGTGTCGGGAAGGGAAAAGCCAGAATGAGGAGATGGCCATTTGGCCAGTAGTGCAGAGAAATGACACCTGCCGGTGACTAGGCAGTCCTTGCTCCGTTGTCACCCTCCTCCTTCCCGGAAGACCCAAACGGCCACCTGTCACCCCCTGAGCATGTGCTGAGGCGGGTCTCTTCCCCTTGTAAGGACTCTGTCCACAGCGTTGTAGCAAAGGCTCCCGGAGCCCTGCACGCGTAGGCCCCCCCACTGGCCCAGTGTCCATCCTTCAGGGTCTGCGTCTCTGTCCTCGCGGGGCCCTCGCTGTGCCTGCAGGTGACAACGTGCTCTGCATCAAATAGTGCTGCTCTGCCCTTCCTGGCCAGCGCGTGTCTGCGGAAGCTTGCTCCTGAGTTCTGGGGGTGGAGGTAAAAAGCATAGCCTGGAACCCCCCCTCTGCTGCTCCTAGTGCCCGCTCAGTGTCGTGGAGAACATGCCCCTGCCGGCCGGCCGTCTCCTGTCTTCATCGCCTTGCAGAACGGACACGGCTCCTCCTCCCCCACCACTCCCCTTTTCCTTTTCGCTCCTCCCG